ATATTTAATGTATGCATTTAAGTAATATTTTTCATATTTTTTCAAGTTGTCGTATTTTCTTTTCCCCCTGGAAATAGTTTTTCCAAATTTAGATCCACTTGTATTTAAACAGATGTCATGAAATGTTTGGTGATTCTTTTGTGAGCTGGTGCCACCATTAAAAAGCTTCCACTGAGTTCATTCTAAGATTTCATCATTGCTCCCATTTGGGTCCCAGCTCCATGACTGCTCGACCACCATGACAAACATGAAACAGGCAAAAAGAACTTAAACCGTCACAGCTTTTTATTGTTTCGGCCCAGTCACCAGAATTATTGTTTGTTATATATAAGGTTTGACATGTCAGATTGTTTCTGATAAAAGGGAATAACACTTTCAGTGTTGGTAAAAAGAAAGAAAGAAAGAAAGAAAGAAAGAAAGAAAGAAAGAAAGAAAGAAAGAAAGAAAGAAAGAAAGAAAGAAAGAGAAAGAAAGAAAGAGAAAGAAAGAAAGAAAGAAAGAAAGAAAGAGAAAGAAAGAAAGAAAGAAAGAAAGAAAGAAAGAAAGAAAGAAAGAAAGAAAGAAAGAAAGAAAGAAAGTATAAAAACACATCTTATCTTATTGTCTGTACAGGTTCACATGAAAAACACTAAATGTTGGGTTCTTTTATGGATAGAGGTCCTTGATGGAGAAATTATCCAGGCATGATATTTGTCCACTTGTCTCATTAGAGTAGAGAGCTTCCTGAAAATCAATGCCATTTATAATGAATTAAAGATTTATATCCTGGTGGGATTAGTCTTCTTTATGAAAGCATGATTCAGGGCACAAGGGTCACTTAATGGTTAGGTGAGCAGGAAGATGAAAGAAATCATGTGCTGTGGCCTTTTGCTAACATGGTTAAATCAGATTTTACAAATCAATAATAAATTTGTTCGAAGGTGAAGACTTTTCACTTCCACTAATATTAGATACAATTTTTCTGAAGATTTTTAGAAAATCCACACATGCACTGGAAGAACATGCAAACTCTACCCAGAAAGGTCACCGGCTGGGATTCAATCCGCAATCCTTCTTACTGAGAGGCAAGAGCTCTACCAACTGAGCCAGCGTGCTGCCAAGTGGCACATCATTTACAAAAATACAATATAGCAGAAGATCCAAGCAGCTGCCTTGTGGAATTCCACATGAAAAGGTTACAAAATTTTAATAGAAACCATTAAACATAATGCATCGTTTTCTGTTACTGAGATAACTCCTCACAAAGTTAATAGTTGTATTTTCAGTACCATATGTTGATGTTTTCATAAATCTAAGATCATGATCAACAATATCAAAGGCAGTGCTAAAATCAAGAGAGCACATACTGACACAGCTGTTTTCCCTATATGCATGTTGAACATCAGAATACAGATATACAATTAAATCAAAGTAAGGTTGACTCTGCTTAAGCACAACTCCTTCCAATCCTAATTTGTGCAAGGCATTTTGTGCCTATGCACATTTGATCAGAGTTGTAAAGTAACTAAGTACAAATACTTTGTTACTGTACTTAAGTACAAATTTTAGTTATCTGTACTATACTTGAGTAATTATTTTTCAGCCTACTTTTTACTTCTACTCCTTACATTATTTTTTAAAAAAGGTTAGAAGTAGAAAGTCATTACTCCTATTTAATTTAGGCTTGTTTACATTCTGGCTTGTTATTGTTAAAAAAAGAAAAGAAAAAGTAAATATCCAGATAAATTGTGCCTCCTGGATAGAGTGAATTGGATGAGAAGTATATACCATTATGATCAGTGGCGGCTGGTGGAATTTTCTCCAGGTGGGGCTACAACTCCAAAATAGATGTATCCCAAAAAGCAACCAAACATGTACTAAGTTGTATCACGCCAGTGTATTTATTAAACAAATGACAATAATAAAACAGCATTACAATGTCATGTAGTGTTTTATTTTTAGTACATAAATTTTGCTCTTCTGTAACTGAGAAGCTAATTTCTTCATAATTCTGGTTAAATTCAGGGATGTTTTAACCAGATTCTTATAGAGCATGGTCAGTGCAGTGAGATGTGATGTTGTACCTGAGGAAAGTCTGGATTGTCTTCAGTGTTCAGCTCCTCTCAGATTCAGCTGTGGTCAGAAGAGATGTGATGAGAATCTTCAGCAG